AGCTCACCACAACTTCTGCCTCCAGGGTTCAAGCGATTCTCCTGCCTCAGCCTCCCGAATAGCTGGGATTACAGGCTCCTGCCACCACACCTGGATAATTTTTGTATTTTTAGTAGAGATGGGGTTTTGCCATATTGACCAGACTGATCTCGAATTCCTAGACTCAAGTGATTCACCTGCATTGGCCTCCCAAAGTGCTGGGATTACCAGTGTGAGCCACTGCTTCCGGCCTTATTTGTATGTATGTATGTATATATATATACACTTTTATTTTAGAGACAGAGTCTCACTGTGTCACCCAGGCTGGGGTGCAGTGGGGCAGTTATAGCTCACTGCAGCCTTGACCTCTTGGGCTCAAATGACCCTCCCACCTCAGCCTCCTGAGTAGATGGGACTACAGGTACATGTCACCACACCTGGCTAATTTCTCTATTTTTTGTAGAGATGAGGGGTCTTACTTTGTTGCCCAGGCTGGTTGTGACCTCCTGGCCTTAAGTGATCCTTCCACTTCTGCTTCCCAAAGTGCTGGGATTATAGGCGTCAGCCACCATGCTGGCCAAATGGTGAACATTTTCAAATGTTCCAAAGCGTGGTCTCTTTCTTCTGTGGGAAGCTTCTTTTGTAGACAGCGCTGACAGCTTGGTTGTGTCCTTTCTCAACCCTCGGCAGATTAGGAGCGGCCCATGAGCTGGGCCTGACCTCTCCCCATGTTAGAATCAGCAGGTAGAGACAAGTAAGAAGTGACATCTGGCAAAGAGGAAGGAGGCAGGGAAACGATAGATTCAGCTCGAGAAGTTAAAATGCCATTGAAGCTAAACAGCTGTTTAGGGAAGAGGCAGAAGTCTCCCACCCAGGGGTCCTTAGGGAGTCACTGCATAATGACTGTGACTCCTAGTGGATCAAAGCTCTTATTAGGGGGTCATCCATGCTAAATGAAAGAGAAAAGGGGTGGGAAATCATGAAATGGAGCAACTTCCTTGATCAAGGCATAAACACCTCCAGGCCAAACTTCCTAGAAAATATCTGGATGAAATCATAATCTTCAGTTTCTTGAGTGTCTCCTTTCTGTCCCTCATACTTAAGCCTCCGATTAACCTGGTTTTGATTTTCGTGGCTGGCATGAGGTGGGATTTCAGTTCATGTTTACATCACAGTCCCAGCACCATTTGTTACAAATTCATCTTCCCTTCCCACCTTCAACAGGAATGTTCCTTCTCACCGCAAGCAAATTTCTGTATACACCTGGGTCTGTTTCTGGATTCTCTGTTCTCCTCTGTTGGCCCATTTGTCTTGTATACCAAAAATAAAATTCTAAGTCCTCCAATCAGCTGAATAGACCTCTCTTCTCAGCCAAGGAGATTCCAAAGAAATCTGAAAGACAAGTTCAGGCCATGACGGGAAGGGGAGTCAGACATGCCTCATTATACCTTCCTTCCTTTGGAGTTCATGCACAACTGACCAGCATTAACATTAAAGCAGGCCAGGCATGGTGGCTCACATCTGTAATCCCAGCAATTTGGGCAGCTGAGGCGGGTGGATCACCTGAGGTCATGAGTTTGAAACCAGCCTGGCAACATGATGAAACCTCATGTCTTCTACAAATACAAAAATTAGCTAGGTATGGTGGTACATGTCTGTAGTCCCAGCTACTCAGGAGGCTGAGGCAGGAGAATCCCTTGCACCCGGGAGGCAGGGGTTGCAGTGAGCTGAGATCACACCATTGCACTCCAGCCTGTCGAAAGAGCGGGAGTCTGTCTCAAAAAAAAAAAAAAATTAAAGCAGAGATTATAGGACTGACAAAGTAGGCTCTGTAGCAGTAACATACCAAATTCCAACCTGACTTTGATCCAGAGGAGATTAGCTAAAAAATCTAGCACCTCCCAGCACTTTGGGAGGCCAAGGCGGGTGGATCACGAGGTCAAGAGATCGAGACCATCCTGGTCAACATGGTGAAACCCTGTCTCTACTAAAAATACAAAAAATTAGCTGGGCATGGTGACGCGTGCCTGTAATCCCAGCTACTTGGGAGGCTGAGGCAGGAGAATTGCCTGAACCCAGGAGGCGGAGGTTATGGTGAGCCGAGATCACGCCATTGCACTCCAGCCTGGGTAACAAGAGGGAAACTCCATCTCAAAAAAAAAAAGAAAGAAAATCTAGCACCTGTTAAAGGTCTGAACAGGAAACATTTGCCAACCATGACTTCTAAAGACGGCCACCTATTAGACTTCATCTACATAATAAGAACCTTGGTCTCCACAACTCCTTATCTTAACCCAGATATTCCTTTCCGTTGATTCCAGGACTTAAGATAATAACACTTTCAACCAATCGCCAACCAGAACATCTTTAAATCCACCTAAGACTTGTAAGTCCCCACCCCTTCAAGTTGTCCTGCCTTTCCGCCACAATATATGTCTCACATTTAATGACTGATATCTTAAGTCTCCCTAAAACACATCAAACCAAGCTCTAATCCAACTACCTTGGGCTCATGTTCTCAGAACCTCCTGAGACTGCATCACAGGTCGTGGTCCTCACATTTGGCTCAGAATAAATCTCTTCAAATATTTTACAGGGGTTGGCTTTTTTTTGGTCCAACAGTCCCTGTTCTAGTACTGTGCCAACTGTAGCTTTATAATTAGTGCTGATCATGGCAGTGCAAGTTATCTCACTTTATTCTTCTCTAGGAGCATCTTTGTTCTTCTACATAAAATTTAGAATCGGCTTGCCAGGTTCCTTGGGAAAAAGCTGACAAGAATTCTATTGGAATTGTATTACATTTATAGATCAGTTTAGGGGGAATGGGCATCTCCATGATTTCTTTGAATGTTGCTTCATTCCCATTCTTCCTATTGTATCCTTCTGGAAATTCGGTTCAAAATATTAGCCCCAGCTGGGTATAGTGTCACCTGTATAGTCCCAACTACTTGGGAGGCTGATGGGGGAGAATACCTTGAGCCCAGGAGTTTGAGGCTGCAGTGAGCTATGGTTGCACCACTGTACTCCAGACTGGGTGACACAGTGAGACCTTGTCTCTTGAAAAAAAAAAAAGACATCTGAATCTCAATTACATTTTCTTTTTCTTTCTTTACTTTTATTTATTTGAGACAAGGTCTCATTCCATCGCCCAGGCTGGAGTTGGAGTACAGTGGTGTGATCATGGCTCATTGCAGCCTCAACCTCTCTGGGCTCAGGTGATCCTCCCACCTCAGCCTCCCACGTAACTGGGACTACAGGCACATGTGACCATGTCCCACTAATTTTTTTTATTTCTTGTAGAGACAGGTTTTTGCCATATTGTTCAAGCTGATCTCAAATTCTTTGGCTCAAGTGATCCATCTGCCTCAGCCTCCCAGAGTGCTGGGATCACAGGTGTGAACCACTGGGCCCGGCCTATATTTTTCATTTTTAGAAGTTCTATATGGTTCTTTTAAGATCTTCTTGGTTAAACCTACTATGTACCCACAAAAATTAAACAGTAAAAAAAATCTCCTTGGTCATTCTTTATAATCTCTTATTCCTTATTCATATTTTTAAGGCTCTCATCCTTTAACTCAGTATTTCATAATCTGTGTCAGTTAAACTCCCTATCTAGTCTTTGCACAGCTGATTCTTGTGTCCACAGTGTCTGCCAATGCTGGCTCTAATTGCCTTGGTTCCTTGCATATTGGGATTTTTAAAAAAAAACTATTACCTTATTTTTCTTGGAACTTATCTTGGGAATTCTTTGAGGCTTGGTCCTGAAGTTGTTTTCCTCCAAAAAGGGTTTGCCTTTCCTTCTGCCACCTCACCACCCCGGGAATACTTTAAATGTTTGGCTTTAGAGTTTTCTGCCCCTACAGGTAGCTGTGAATTCAGATGGCAAACTACAGGATTTAGTCAGACCTGAGGTGGAACCCTCACTCACTTACTATGTGACCTGAGGCAAGTTATTTAATCTTTCTAAATCTGTCCTATCATCTGTGAAATAGCAATAATAATACCTACTGCCTAAGGCTACTGCAAGGATGAAATGGGATCACATATGTAAATACAGGCTTGCCTGGGGTTCTTTCTCAGTCCCTGCCTACGATTCTCTTCCTTGCTTTCTTCTGCCCCAGCCAATGGGAGCAGCTTAGTGATGGCCTCCAGCATTAGTTCTGCCTCTCGCTGTAGGACCTGAGTTATAGTGGAAGCAGGGTGCTTCACATCTCACTCCAGTGACTCACTCTGCCATCAGCTTTGAGATGACTGAGCCTCCGAAAGCCTTTGAGAGACATCTCTACCCTCAGTCTTGACTGTGGTTTGGAATATTCTTGGAGGTCACTTGAAACTGGGCAACAAGAAAAATGACATTTGACAGAATTGTTTTCTTTGTCAGATGCTGCAGGAGTTTCTTGGTGAGTTTGTTGGCTATGATTTCTTAAAAGATGTTAAAATTGTTAATTTTTTTTTGAGACATGGTTTTGCTCTCTTGCCCAGGATGGAGTGCAGTGTCGCGCGATCATGGCTCTGCAGCCTCAACCTTGCAGGCTCAAGTCACTCTCCCATTTCAGCCTCCCGCGTAGCTGGAACTGCAGGAGCATGCCACCACACCTGGCTAATTTTTAAAAATTCTTTGTAGAAACAGGGTTTTGCCATGTTGCCTTGGCTGGTCTAGAACTCGGGGGCTCAAGCAATCCTACTGCCTCCCAAAGTGCTGGGATTACAGGTTTGAGCCACCGCACCCTTCTTACATGATTAAAAATTATTAGCCGGGCGCCGTGAGAACAACAACAACAAAAAAAAAAACAGCAGCATATGCTCTGCTGACAAAATTATTTGATGTCCCCAGGTTGGTTATGTGGGCTTTCCTGACTCTTCCCTGCTGTTTAGGAAGGGCTTCAGAGACCTGAATACTTGGTAGCCAGAGCAGCAGGGTTTCAGGGTTTCAGGGTTTGGCCCCGGGAGGGGAAGAAGCGGGAGGGCAGGTTGCAGCTCAAGTGCCTTTAGAGATGCTGAGCCTCTCCTGTCCTGCCCAGGACGCAATGAGCCCCTGAAGAAAGAACGGCTGAAGTGGAAGAGCGACTACCCCATGACTGACGGGCAGCTGCGGAGCAAACGGGATGAGTTCTGGGACACAGCACCTGCCTTCGAGGGTCGAAAGGAGATCTGGGATGCCCTCAAGGCCGCCGCCTACGCTGCCGAGGCCAATGACCATGAGCTGGCCCAGGCCATCCTGGATGGAGCCAGCATCACCCTGCCTCATGGTAAGTGGGCAGGGCCAGGGCTTTATCCCCGCTGGAGCTAGGGGGTCACCAGCACGGTTTGCAGGTAGAGTAGAGCCGGTGGCCAGCCACGTGTCAGGAGGTTCTATCCAAGCTGTTGGGGGAGTGTTGAGCGGTGTGGAGTGGTGGAACAGGTGGTTATTCACTTATTCGTTCATTCAAGCAATCCTTGCTGAGCATGGACCAGAAGTGGATACATAAGGAAAATGAGACAGTCTGTGCTTGCCTAATGACACAATAGAAAGGCATCAACAAACCTGCCAAGCAGTGTCACAAATGCATGTTGGGACCCCAGAACATCCAAGACACTGACCTTTTTATTTTATATATATGTTTTTTGAAACAGAGTCTTACTCTGTTGCCCAGGCTGGAGTGTAGTGGTGGGATCTCTGCTCACTGCAACCTCTGCCTTCTGGGTTCAAGCAGTTCTCCTGCCTCGGCCTCCTGAGTAGCTGGGATTACAGGCACGTGCCACCACACCCAGCTAATTTTTGTATTTTTAGTGGAGATGGGGTTTCACCACGTTGGCCAGGCTGGTCTCGAACTCCTGAGCTCAAGTGATCTACCGACCTCGGCCTCCCAAAGGCATGGACCTTGGGTTATGTGCTGGGCACTGAACTAGAAACTTCCACTGCATTAGCTCACGTAAGTTCACAGCAGCCTTATGGGGCCGTGTAAAGCAGAGGGTAACAACAGTGGCGCTCTAGAGTCCCAGACCTGGGTTTCAGCCTGAGTGTGTTCCTTTCCTAATTGTGTTGCCTTTAGCAAGGAGCTTCTAGAAGTTAGAGCCTGAGTGCCTTACAACTATAGAGGGGAGATGATTATTAGGATTCAGCAAGACGCACATAACATCATACAGTCTAGTCCCTGCACTTAAGTGTTCAAGAGACAATACACTTATTTTTCCATGCATTACATGGTACCAGTAAGGACACTGAGGCCCATGGAGAGCAGAGCTGTGCTATTTCATTCATCCCTGTAACCCCAGCACCTGGCACATGTGAACAAATGAAAAGTGATGTCCCAGGGATGAACAAACCAGTACCTGGTAGAGCCAGGATGCCAGCTCAGGTCTTCCTGACTGCAGCCCTGTACACCTGGTCATCAGGTTGTCCTAGGGAGATCTGACTGTGGGGTGGCCATGGCAGTGTATTAGTCTGCTCAGACAACTATAACAAAACACTACATGCTGAGTGACTTAAACAAGAGACGTTTATTTCCCACAGTTGGGGAGACTGGGAAATCCCACATCGTGGTGTTTGCCGGTTCAGGTTTTGGTGAGGACTCTCTTGCTGGCTTGCAGGCGTGTCTGCCTTCTTGCTGTGTCCTCACATGGGAGCGAGTGGAGCATAACACAGTGCTCTAGTGTCTCTTCAGGAACTGTAAGCCAGGGCAGTGGAGCACACCTGTCGTCTCTGCTGCTCAGGAGGCTGAGGCGGGAGGATCGTGTGAGCCCAGGGGTTCAAGACTAGCCTAGGCAACATAGGGAAATCTTGTCTCAAAAGAAAAAAAAAAAAGGCCGGCCAGGTACGGTGGCTAACTCCTGTAATCCCAGCACTTTGGGAGGCTGGGAGGGGGGTGTGGATCACAGGGTCAGGAGTTCGAGACCAGCCTGACCAACATGGTGAAACCCTGTCTCTACTAAAAATACAAAAATTAGCCAGGCATGGTGGTACACGCCTGTAATCCCAGTTACTCAGGAGGCTGAGGCAGGAGAATCGCTTGAACCCAGGAGTGGAGGTTGCAGTAGGCCAAGATGGCGCCACCGTACTCCAGCCTGGGTGACAGAGCGAGACTCCGTGTCAGAAAAACAAAAACAAAAACAAAAAACAACCATTCTTTCAGATCAGGGAATCAGAGGGGCAGGGCCCCACCCCATGCCTCATTTCACTTTAATTATTTCCCTATAGGCCCATGTCCAAATACAGTCACATTGGGAGCGAGAGTTTCACCATATGAATTTGGGGGAACCTAAACATTTAGTCCATGCCAGTGGACCCCCAAGCTGACTCTGACAGCCCTGCCTCTCCCACAGGCACCCTCTGTGAATGCTACGACGAGCTGGGCAATCGCTACCAGCTGCCCATCTATTGTCTGTCACCACCTGTGAACCTGCTGCTGGAACACACGGAGGAGGAGACCCTGGAGCCCCCCGAGCCCCCACCCAGCATGCGCCGCGAGTTCCCGCTGAAGGTGCGCCTGTCCACGGGCAAGGACGTGAGGCTCAGCGCCAGCCTGCCTGACACAGTGGGGCAGCTCAAGAGGCAGCTGCATGCCCAGGAGGGCATCGAGCCGTCGTGGCAGCGGTGGTTCTTCTCCGGGAAGCTGCTTACAGACCGCACACGGCTCCAGGAGACCAAGATCCAGAAAGATTTTGTCATCCAGGTCATCATCAACCAACCCCCACCGCCCCAGGACTGATGGGCCCACGGACCCCTGGAAAGAGGCCCTGCCTGGAGCACTCGGCCCCCACCCTGCTGCTGCCTTCCAGTGCTGTCATTTTCTTCAGGGGCCCTCCGCTCGGTGTGGCTGGTGGGTGAGCAGTGAAGGGACCCTGCCTTTCAGGGCACTGTGTGCCACCAGTGCCCGGTACGCAGGGAGCAGGCGGCCACACTTGGGCCTTGCAACCTTGTCAGAGAAAAGGTGAATGGGGCCCTCGCCCTGCCTCCCCTCTGCAGCAGGTTCGAGCCACGAGGGCTAGCCTGGAGGCCTCTGGAGCCCAGATCTATCATCTGGTGCTGCCGGCTGTGCTCACTCCGGTTTTCTGCTCAGGGTCTGAAACAGCTGCTGTCTCCCTCGTCTGCCCCCTTCCCCTGGCTCTCCCCTGGGCACAGTGCCACTCCCTGGGAAGGGAGGGAACCACCCGTGAGCCCCAGGGCTCGGGAAGCCTGAGGCAGGCTTCTGCCTCTCCGTGCCCCCAGCACAATTGGCAGAGATGAGGCAGGTGGTGGACGGCTGGACTGTCGTGGCAGGGGTCTGCACAGTGTCATGTCCTAGCTGTAACCCAGGCAGTGGGAGGTCTGCAGCCTGGTCACGGCCCCCACAGCAGGTCCCTGTGGACAGACATATCTGCATATTTATCAATAAAGCCTTTTGCTCCATCTCGCTTGCCTGGCATTTGACTGAGTTCTGCAGCTCTGTGGGACCCCTGGAGCTGTTCTGGTATGAGAGCAGGTGGATGCCTGGCCTCCCAGCTGCTCTGGGCACGAAATCTCCAGCAGGGAGAGCCTGGAACTGCCAGGCTTCTGGGCCCTGATCCCAGCCCCCTGGTGTCCTCATGAGTCCTCAGGAAAAGCCACTTAACCTCTGAACCCCCTTTGCTTTTCTTTAAAGCAGAGCCATGCTGCCTGCCCTGCCTCCTCCATCAGTTGCTGGGAGGATTAAGCAGGAAGACAGATGTGAAAGTGGTTGGAAGGTGAAGACAGCAACTCAGGCAGGAGGGGCTGGCTTCCAGCTCCTGGAGATGCTGTGCCCATCGTGATGTTAAAGCAAAGTCACTGGCAGATTTAGATGATGAGCATATGTCAGAGGTTTGTGTCAGCTTCCCAGCAAGCAAGCCAGGGAGGAAAAGGAACCAGTTCCTCCTGCTTCCTAGGGGAATGCATGCATATCTGAAGACAGGGGTATCTTATATAAGGCTATTTAGCTAAGGGAAGCCACCAGCCAGGTGAGCCTTGCAGAAGCGCAGGGCCAGGTGTCTGCAGGTCCCTAGCAGGTTAATCTCTAGCCTACAAGTACCGAGTGTGGAACTGAGCAAGTACAGATCTGCTTTTGTTACAGTGGGGAGTATTTATCCTTCTCAGTGAGCATGGCCAGCCTCCTGGCCAGGAAAGCCTGGCACTGTCTGGGCCTGACAGGGAAACCCCTGGAGGGTAGGAGGATCGGAGTAGCTGCTGTTCCTCCTCAGCTGGGCTTAGTGGTTTCCCGAGACCGCCCTCTTGAAGCAAGACCCTGTAAGCACTGCAGAGCCTCCTTGAGCACTTACTCTGAGGCACCAAGGGAGGAGACAGATTGGATAAGGTTTGTTGGTGACTAAAAGTCACCCATCCAAATGCACTGATGCATAACTGGGGAGCAGGGAGGAGCGTATGGGACCCCAGAGAGCCAAAGGCCAGCATGAGCTGCGATCTAAGAGGGAGATGGCTGCCCTAACTGCTACTACTGCCCTGGCCTGAACAAGTAGAGTGTGACCCTCCTCACAGCCAGCAGGGCATGCTGCAGGGCAGCCTGGGAGTACAGAACTGTCCTGGTCCCCACGTGTGGTTTTCAGGCCCCTGTCCTGGAGCTGGCTGAGCAGGGTTTCCAGGCATCCAGCAGGTGGCACTGTCATCTGGGCTAGAGCATGCAGCTGGCAGGTCCCTTGTGCAGCCCAGCCGCCTTGGCTAAGGCCCAGCCAGGCCCAAGCACTCAGGACAGAGGCTGGACACGCTTCTTCCTGCAGCCCTGCTCTTGGGACACGGTGCCCTCCGGCTCTAATAGGCCAGGAGTTGGCGGAGCAACTGGCCCTGCTCCCTGGCCCTGGCTCCCCCTGCTCCCTGGGGCTTCCCGAGGTGAAGGTGACAGGTTGGGGAATCAGGTGGAGAATTAGGCCGGTGAGCTCATGGCAAAGGCGCCCAGCTGGGTGGGGTGGGTGCTGTGGCCTATAAAGCCCCCGAGCCCCTATGGCCTTCAGAGGCGGTTATGGACAGCACCATGGAGGACTCCGAGGCGGTGCAGAGGGCCACGGCACTCATCGAGCAGCGACTGGCACAGGAGGAGGAGAATGAGGTACGGGCAGGGGTGGAGGGGCCCAAGGGGGTTTGAGGAGATCCAACTCTGCTGTCAAGGGGAGGAAGAGCTTGGCTGCTACACCTGTGGTCGGGAGGGGCAGATGTTGTCAAGAGCCCAGCTGGGTCTTATTCCTGTCCCAGGGCATTACTGGCAGGGGGTATTGCTGGCAGCAGAAGACTGAGACTTCAGCCTCCAAAATTGAGTCAGTGGGGTGGGGAGCTGAGCTGGGCCTCCTGAGACTGCCCACCCTCCTGGGCCTTGAGAGATAGTGGGCTGTACAAGGCAGACAGCTGGGTGCTGCCCGGGACTGTCTGGAATGTGTGGCCCTGCGATCCCCCTGCGACTGAGTGGGAGGCTGGAGTGGGGTGACACCAGTGTTTGGCCACTGAAGAGGAGAGTGAGGAAGGAATGCTGGGAAAGGAAGCATGGATTTTTGCCAGCCTGCTGGCCACCCTTGGGGAGGCCTTTGGAGTGTGGTGTTCTGGGCAATTCCATTTTCTCTGGGATAAGGAAGTGAAGTGGGGCAGGGATGCTACTTGTCCTACTCTTTTTTTTTTTTTTTTTTTTTTTTTGGAGATGGAGTCTCCCTCTGTCGCCCAGGCTGGAGTGCAGTGGCACAATCTCAGCTCACTGCAACCTCTGCCTCCTGGATTCAAGTGATTTTCCTGCCTCAGCCTTCCGAGTAGCTGGGATTACAGGCATGCACCACCACATCTGGCTGTTTTGTGCTTTTAGTAGAGATGGGGTTTTCACCATGTTGGTCAGGCTGGTCTCAAACTCCTGATCTCAGGTGATCCACCCACCTTGGATCTCGGATCTCAAAATTCTGGGAGTATAGGCTTGAGCCACTGCACCTGGCCCTGTCCATAGAGGAGTCCTTGAGGGCATTCAGAACAATTCATGAGCTCCTTGAGTTCCTCTTCTGATTCACACCTCTATTTAGCCATTTCTTCCCTCTGCCTTGTTTCTTAGTTGACCATGAAACTGACAAGTGGGCTAAAATGAATGCTGGGTTGGCAAAAAGAAGGCAGGGTCTGGGCCTTATTGGTCCACCCATTTCTACAGCTCTGGCCTCCTGGCAGAGCTGACACTAGATGAAGTATTAATTTAAATAAAATTAAGAGTAGGGGCTGGGTGCAGTGGCTTACACCTGTAATTTCAGTATTTTGGGAGGCTGAGGCGGGTGGATCACACCTGTAATTTCAGTATTTTTGGGAGGCTGACGCGGGTGGATCACCTGAGGCCAGGAGTTTGAGATCAACCTGACCAACATGGTGAAACCCCCGTCTCTACTAAAAGCACAAAACAGCCAGATGTGGTGGTGCATGCCTGTAATCCCAGCTACTCGGAAGGCTGAGGCAGGAGAATCGCTTGCACCCGGGAGGTGGAGGTTGCAGTAAGCCAAGATTGTGCCACTGCACTTTAGCCTAGAAGACAGAGTGAGACTATGTCCAAAAAAAAAAAAAAGGACTCCTCTGTGGACAGGAGGATACCTGAGCTGGGCCTTCAGGAAGACTCAGTGGAGTCCAGGATAGCAGAGGGTATTCCAGCCTAAGGAAACGCAGAAGCTAGAGTTTCCGTGAGTGAAAGCGTGGCTGTTTTGAGAAAGTCTGGTAGTAGGACTAACGCTGGAAAGTCACAAGCCAGAGAGGGCCATGTAAAAGATACTTATTCTGTGCTGGGTGTGGTGGCTCACGCCTGTAATCCTAGCACTTTGGGAGGCCAAGGCAGGCAGATCACGAGGTTGGGAGTTTTAGACCAGCCTGGTCAATATGGTAAAACCCCATCTCTACTAAAAATACAACAATTAGCTCAGTGTAGTGGCATGCACCTGTAGTCTCAGCTACTTGAGAGGCTGAGGCAGTAGACTCACTTGAACTGGGGAGGCTGAGGTTGCAGTGAGATTGCACCACTGCACTCCAGCCTGAGCAACAGAGTGAGACTCCTTAAAAAAAAAGAAAAAAATATATATTTATTCTGTAGGCAGAAGATGCTATTGAGTGAGGGAGAGTGGTGCCATCTGACCTATTTTAGGAAGGCAGCTCTGATGGCCCTGAGAACTTGTTGGAAAAGGCTGGCCCTAACCGGAATTGAGGGAGGAGATACATCAGTTTGGAGGTAGATGCCATTCAAAAAAAGGAGTGTGACTGAATGAGGGGTGAGGAGGAGGGAAGGGTCAGGACCCAAGGGAAGAAGAGGTGAGGTCAGGAAAGAGCCTGGACTGAGTGCTGGCTGGGGCAAGCATCCCTGGATCTCTAGGAATCCCACTTCTCGCTCCCCCAAGGGCAAGTGCCTGTGGTTGGCTGGCACCAGGCAGGTGAGTCATGCTGCTGTGCCGGTTCTGGAGTGCTGCCAGTAGACACAGGGACCTTAGCAAGGGGATGCAGAGCGTGCTCTTCTGTTCATTCATCCAATAAATATAGCTACAGAGCTGGCAGGACACGAGTGCCAGGCCCTGTGCTAAACATTTTACAGGCATTCTGTCATTTAATCTGCACGACAGTCTATGAAGTAATTACCGGTGGGAGCTTTGTGTGTTTCATGAACTCACATTCAATGCAGCAAACAGTTATTGAGCACCTACTGTGTGTCAGCCCACAAAGACAAACCTGAAATGAAGGGCTATAGCATCTGGGGAAGATGTGGGTGAGCATTAGAGTTGTCAGTTGTCTCTACCAGGCCCCAGCCTGGCAGGGTTCTTGGAGAGTCTCTGTCTAGCCTGTGCCCCATCCCCAGGGTGGGAGGGGAAGGAGGGCCCCAGAGGCCAGCTCAGGGGCTGGAGTTCCATTGTGGGGAGCTTACTGGGTTAGGTCATCACTGAGAACTTAACGGTTAGCAGAGATGCTGAAGCACCTACTATGTGCTAGGGCCTATCACAGATGCTGGGGACACCAAGATGATTAAGACACAAGCTGGCCCTCTGGATGCTCCCTGAGGAGCCCAGCCAGAGTCCCACATGCAGCAGTAGCTGCAGCCCCAAGTTCTCTCTCGTCCTTTGAAGAAGATGCAGTGTTTCAGGTTAGGTCAGCACTGAGGTGACCTCCAACCACGAAGCCCAACATGAAAGAGAGAAAGCAGTGGCAAATAGGACCTTCAGAATGAACACTTGGCAAATCCACTCTCAAAACCATCTTGAAGGAGCTAGTGTGGGAGCTCAGGAAGGATGTGAAAGGCACCCAAGTGCCACCAAGTAAGGGTGGCCTCCTTTCCAGCCGCCACGTCGACCCTGGACCCTCCAACCTGGGCAACTGCTCCTGGACATAGCCACACAAGCTGCGTGGTGGGGACTGCAGGGATGGGGGTGCCAGCACATCACAAAGAGAGAAGAAG